TTTAACCTCTCTGTGCCTTCATTTTCTCATCTGTAAAATGGGACTACTACTACTCCCTGCCTCCTAGGGTTGTGGAAAGATTTAGTTTATATATGCAAAGCACTTAGAATAACCCTTGCCATTCACCTGGATCATCCCCAAAAAAAGGAATATCCCTTGCCATGTATTGCCTTCAAAGTATGGCGACGCATAATTTCTAAGCCCCTACAGTGCCTTGCACATACTTCATGCTTTGAAGTTCTTTGTAAATTTCTTTTGTTCCTCCATTCAACCAACACCTTCTGGGCATTTAAAAAAAAAAAAAAAAAGTCAATAAAGAAGATACTTTTTTTTTTTTTTTTTTGAGATGGAGTCTCACTCTGTCACCCAGGCTGGAGTGCAATGGCGCAATCTCAGCTCACTGCAACCTCTGCCTCCCAGGTTCAAGCAATTCTCCTGCCTCAGCCTCCTGAGTAGCTGGGATTACAGGCACCGGTCACCACACCTGGTTAATTTTTGCATTTTTAGTAGAGACAGCGTTTCGCTGTGTTGGCCAGGCAGGTCTCTAACTCCTGATTTCAAGCAATCCACTTGCCTCAGCCTCCCAAAGTGCTGGGATTACAGGCGTGAGCCACCACGCCCTGCCAGAAATCAGTCTTGTTCCAGCAGCCCTGCTAGGGCCCTGGCTCTGGCCTCCTTCCCACCACTGGGGAGTGCCCAAGGCAGAAATCCGGCTCTGCCCACCCTGGGCTGCACACCAATAACCTCCCCAAAGGGAAGCTGTTTGTTTGGAAGGAAATGGTGCAGAATGAGCAGTGGCCACGCTTAAAATAGGGCTGGGGCCTGGTTTCCAGGGCTTACCGGGGAGCACTGGAGCTGAGATCTCAGTGGCAGAGAAGATTGGTTTCCTTCCCCGGGGCTGTGGAGATCTGATTCGGTTGTGCACCCTCTGCCTTGCCCCAAGGAGCTTCCAAGAGTTTGCATGTAATGCCATTCTTGGGGCAGTGCACTAAGCACTCAGGGACATAAGCACTTTTTTTTTTCTGAGGTGGAGTTTTGCTCTTGTCACCCAGGCTGGAGTGTAGCAGTGCTGTCTCAGCTCACTGCAACCTCCTGCCTCAGCCTCCCAAGTAGCTGGGATTACAGGCACTTGCCACCATGCCTGCCTAATTTTTCTATTTTTAATAAAGATGGGGTTTCACTATGTTGGCCAGGCTGGTCTCAAACTCCTGACCTCAAGTGAAGGGACATGATCACTTTTAATCCTCCATCCTGTGAAACTGGGGCATAATAAGCCCTCATTTCAAAGAGCAGAGCACAGAGGCACTGACAGGTTTAAGGTCCTGTCCTAAAGCGAGCTTCTCTTTGAGGGGCTCTGGAGGAAGACGACAGTTCCACGGAGGGGTCTTTGGGGCTGACCCAGGACACTTTACTCTCCCTGTCTCCACTTCCTCCTTTATTCTGGCATTTTCTTTCTTTTTTTTTGAGATGGAGTCTTGCTCTGTTGCCCAGGCTGGAGTGCAGTGGTGTGATCTCGGCTCACTGCAGCCTCTGCCTCCCCGCTTCAAGCAATTCTCCTGCCTCAGCCTTCCAAGTAGCTGGGATTCCAGGAGTGCGCCACCACACCTGGCTAATTTTTTTTGTATTTTTAGTAGAGACAGGTTTCACCATGTTGGTCAGGATGGTCTTGATCTCCTGACCTCGTGATCCACCAGCCTCGGCCTCCCAAAATGCTGGGATTACAGGTGTGAGTCACTGTGCCTAGCCTATTCTGGCATTTTCTTGACCCCATCTCACCCCGTGATGAGGAAGAGGGTTGGAGGTTGGGAATTAGAATCGTCTGACTGCACACTGGAAACAGCTGGGGAACTTTTAAAAGATGCTGCTGTTTAGACCTCACTTCTGACCAATTCAGTCAGGTACTGGGGTGGAGCCTTGGCACTGGTCTTTAAAAATATATATATTGGCTGGGCGGGGTATCTCATGCACTTTGGGAGGCCAAGGCGGGCGGACAAGGAGGTCAGGAGTTCAAGACCAGCCTGACTAACATGGTGACACTCCATCTCTACTAAAAGTACAAAAATTAGCTGGTCGTGGTGGCATGCCGCTGTAATCCCAGCTACTCAGGAGGCTGAGGCAGGAGAATCACTCAAACCCGGGAGGCAGAGGTTGCAGTGAGCCAAGATCGTGCCACTGCACTCCAACCTAGGAGACCGAGTGAGACTCTGTCTCAAAAACAAATAAATAAATAAATAAATAACTCCCCAGGGAATCCTAGTATGCAACCAAGGTTGAGAGCCACTGCTTTAAAGCATTTCCAACCCTGCAGTTCCCGGCCTTGACTGATGGCCGCAAATCACCTGGGTAGATGTTTTTATGAACTCATGTCTGAGCCACAACCCTGGGCCAATTAAGCTTGAATCCCTGAGGATGGGGTCTGGGCACTACATTTTATTTTATTTTATTTTTATTGAGACTGAGTTTCACTCTCGTTGCCCAGGCTGGAGTGCAATGATGTGATTGTGTCTTACTGCAACCTCTGCCTCCTGAGTTCAAGTGATTCTCCTGTGTCAGCCTGTCGAGTAGCTGGGATTACAGGCATGTGCCTCCACTCCCAGGTAGTTTTTGTATTTTTAGTAGAGACAGAGTTTCTCCATGTTGGTCAGGCTGGTCTCAAACTGCCGACCTCAGGTGATCTGCCTGCCTCGGCCTCCCAAAGTGCTGGGATTACAAGCATGCGCCACCACACCCAGCCTGGGCACTATATTTTTAAAAAGCTCCCACCGGTGGTTCCCAAGGGCACCCAAGGTGGGGAAGCTCTGTGAATCCAGTCTCATAGGTGTACAGATAGGGAAACTGAGCCCAGAGGAAAGTGGCAACTTGTCCAGGGTCACACAGCAGCTGTAGGAGTTCAAACCCAAGACTTCATACCCCAGGCTAGCACAGCCCTGATGGAGGAGGTCTAGGGACCCACTGCCTGCTGTGGTTGTAAGAATCAGCCCCCATGACCCTTCTGTAATCCCCCATTGAGGAAGGGTAGAATCTGAGAATATACCAAGCTATCGCTCCTGTGACCATATTACGTTTATTACCTTATTTAGCAAAAGGGATTTATCTGTTGACTTTGAGTTCATCAAAAGAGGCTTATCTAGGTGGGTCTAACCTAATTACATAAGCTTTATAGAAGTAGTGTATGGAAGGGTGCGGTTCACATCTGGAATCCCAGTACTTTAAGAGGCAGAGGTGGGCAGATCGCTTGAGCCCTGGAATTCAAGAGCAGCCTGGGCAACATGGTGAAACCCTGTCTCTCAAAAAAAAAATACAAAAATTAAACGGGCATAGTGGCACACACTTGTAGCTCTAGCTTTTCGGGAGGTTGGCGGTGGGAGGATTGCTCGAGCCCAGGAGGTTGAATTGCAGTGAGCTGAGATTGCACCACTGCACTCCCGCCTAGGCAACAGAGTGAGGCCATGTCTCAAAAATAAATAAATAAAAGGAAAAGAAAAAAGCAGCAGAATGTTTTCTCTGGTTGGTGGCAGAAGGACAAATCAGGGACTTAAGTTCAAGTGACCATTGAGAAGGACTTAGTGTGCTGGTGGTGGCTTTGAAAATGGAAAGCGACCACTGAAGCGAGAATTTGGGCACTCTCTAGGAACAGAGTGGCCCTTGATGACAGCTGGCAAGGAAATGGGGACGTCAGACCTACAACTGCAAGGAATGAGATTTTGCCAACAGTCTAATGAGTCTGGAAGTGGATTCTCTCCCAGAGCCTCCAGATAAGAGGCACAGAGCAGAGAGCTCAGGCCCACGACGCTCTAAGTTTGTGGGGATTTGTTCCACAGTCGCAGACCACCGAAATGCTGCTTTAGTTCAGGAAGAAGCTGTAGAACCCTGACTCTCAGACCTCAAACCCAGGTTTCCCCCAAAGCACCTGGAAAGGAGGGAAATTCCAAGGAATGGGGAGGAAGAGGAGGGGGAGGGGGAGGAAGAGGGGGAGGGGGAGGAAGAGGGGGAGGGGGAGGAAGAGGGAGATGGGGAGGGGGAGGGGGAGGAGGAGCAGGACAGGGAGGGGGAGGGGGAGCAGGATGGGGAGGGGGAGGGGAGCGGGAGGGGGAGCGGGAGGGGGAGGGGGAGGGGGAGGGGGAGCAGGACGGGGAGCCTTGTTACCAAAGAGGCCAGCAGACAGCTCAGCCAAGAGGACAGATGCGGGCAGGTGGGTGGGAAGCACAGCCAGGAACCATGGCCAAGACATGCCTCTACCTGCTGCTGCCCCGCCCCCTCCCCGTCGCTGTCTCATCTCTGCACATCTCACAACACACTTGGGCACATGACACAGAGAAAGAGTTCATGAATGCCACGATCTGCAGGCAGGAGGCGATGGCCAGGGCACAGGCTTGGGACACCTGAAATAAACCAATCTCATGCCATAGACTCTACCCCACACTGGGGATAAGATCTGGGGCGCTGCTAGGAATGGAAGCCCCTGTGTGCAGGGCCTCACCTCCTCCTGCACTTGGGAGATAGTAATGGCATCAGAAAAGGATGGCCCTGCTGCTCTCTCTCCAGAGATGGCTGGTTCCTGCAGGGTGTGGGCAGCAGAGAGGCAAGGCCGATGCTGAACTTACAGAGCCGAGCCCCTGCAATTTCTTCTCCTCTTGGTCCTCCTCCTTTCTTCCCTTGAAGATTTCTGAGATGACTCTCTGTGCCTTATTATGTTTTTTTTTTTTTTTTTTTTTTTTTTGAGACGGAGTTTCGCTCTCGTTATCCAGGCTGGAGTGCAATGGCGTGATCTCGGCTCACTGCAACCTCTGCCTTCTGGGTTCAGGCAATTCTCCTGCCTCAGCCTCCTGAGTCGCTGGGATTACAGGCACGTGCCACCATGCCCAGCTAATTTTTTGTATCTTTAGTAGAGACGGGGTTTCACCATGTTGACCAGGATGGTCTCCATCTCTTGACCTTGTGATCCACCCGCCTCGGCCTCCCAAAGTGCTGGGATTACAGGCGTGAGCCACCGCGCCCGGCCTTATTAGGCTATTTAAAACACCACCACCCTCTCATGGTTCCCTCCTGTGGCCAGGTAAGTAGAGGCAAATGCAGCAAGGTTATTGCACCCAGTCTCCCCAACAAAGGCTTGACCCACCGTCTGAGGCTCTTTCTCAAAAAGACAGCTTTGCCCGCTCACTCCTTTCCTTTACTCAAAAGTCCCAGAGACGTTCCCTGAGCCCAGTCCCCACTTGCTATGCTGCACCCACCAAGCCCACCTTTCTTGAGCCCTTCTTGACTGATCGTGTTGTATTTCCCCACAGCTTCTAACACCACCTGAAATCATCTGGTTCATTCACTCATGGGTTCATTCCTGCACCCACCTCCAATCCGAAGTCACAAGAACCTAAACTGAGAAAGACAGGGACCTTGTCGATCTGAAGCCTAACACAGTGCACCAGCCAGGTTTGTGGGGCCAGTGAGGGGGTGGAAGGGAGAGGGATGAGAGGGAAGGGAAGGGCCCAGGGCAAAGAGGAGACCCTGAGCCAGCTGCCTTATGTATCCCATCCCAGGATCCCGGCATCCACTGAGGGATGCCTGGGTCCTCCAGACTTCAGCCAGGCCATGCCCACTCCCTGCCTTTCGGAGGAGCCCTGGCAGGTCCCCTGGAAGTTCCTGGAGGGTCTCAGCTCAGAGAGATGGAGGGAAGGAGGTGAGGCCTGGTGATCCTCACAGCTCCCAGAAGGAAACTAACTCCGTGCTGTCTTCCCCCAGGTCCCTCAGCTCCATGTTTTTCAAATGATTTGTGGTGAAGGACCAGTCATCTGTTCTCAATTGATGATTCATCGTACACCAATACTTTCACAATTTACCATAAAAACCCCCCTGTGCCTACATGTTGCAGCAGTGGCTAATTGCTACGTAGGTTTCCAAACCCTTCCTCTGGGAATTGCACTCAGCTCTTTGAGGACAGATAACTGTTTGTGAATAGCTTGCAGGCCACAGCCTGAGCTGTACAGATCTGGATACACCAAGGCCCAGGATGGGTGGGGGTGGGTGTTGGCAGCTACAAGGCCCCGACACCTGCCCAGAGGTTGGGCGTTGGAGGGATGAAGGGCAGCCGGCAAGGTGGGGACCTGATGTACAAGCCTGTGTCCCCCAACAGTAAAGAGCCAGGGCTGGGAAGTAGGAGAAGGAATCTCCTCCGTCCTCAAATGACAGGAGACAGGCAGGCAGGAGTGGGGAACTCCTCCAGCTCCGCCCATGTCTCCTGGTCCTTCTCACAGTTCAGGGGAACCTGCTTTGGGGGAGGGAGCAGTTTTGCCCCACTCCACACTTCACCATGCCACTTTGTCCCAGAGTCATTAAACTCCTCTCGAGATGTTTGCCTTGTACCTTTTAGTGCACATTCCAGTCCAGGAGGAATGCATGCTCACAACATGAAGGCAGTGTCGGAGGCCCTTGCCCCTCTGCACCCAGCCTGTGACAGCTGGCTTCCATCTGCCAGGCGTCAGGCTGTTGACAGGGGTGGGGTGGTGATACCGTCCCGGCCCAGCATTCAGGGAGCTGGCATCTCACAGTGCCCCACCCTGCCCCTCCCGGGCCCTCATGGAGCCGGAGACGAGAATGAGATTGAAACTCCACTCCATCAAGAGTGGGCTGACCCAGCCCCCTCTGTTTCTGGGCAGGGTCCCAGGAATGCCTCACCCCCGTCTTGCACACAGTAGGCACTCAGTATTTGCTAAGCACATTCAGGGTCCTCAGCTGGCCTGGACGGAGCCCCAGCCCATTGGCCTTCCCCAGGGTCACCTCAGTAGTCCTCAGGACCTGGCCACATTGTTCCAATTCCTGCAGGTTTGGAATGTCTCTGTTTATCATCAATGTCAATCTGACTGGGAGAACATCCAGTTCCCAGAGGCCTGCTGGGGGCTGGCGGGGAACACAAGAAGGAGAGATAGGAGCAGGTCACACATGGGCCTTCCAGCCCCCTTCAGGATCCCCTTGTTACAGACCCCAATCCAGGAACATTGTCACTCTGGGCCCTGGATTTGCATAAGCAGATGGGTGGCAGCCAGCAGGAGTTCCACAGGGCCTCGTACCTCTCTACCCACGCCTTCCAGCCTCTCCCTCTTTGCCCTTTTATTTGGCAGGATATGGGGAGCAATGGCTCCTTCTGCAAGCAGCTGCCCCTCCTTCTATACCTTTGATCAGAGTCCCTCCACCTCCCTCCGCCACCTGACCAAACCCATCCTGACGCATAGATCTCAGCTCCGTATCCAGACGGCTTGGATTCAAATCTTACCTCCACCATTTCTAGCTGTGTCACTTGGGCAAGTTACTCAACCTCTCTGTTTTCTCACCTGTAGAGTGGCATGTGGGGAGATTTCTTCTGTTTCTGGCTGCCCATCATTTCAGAATCCCCTTTCTGTAACTGGAGATTTCTCCATTTGCCCACAGTGTGAGTCTGTACTCACTCAGGTAGAAGTCAGAATTCAATTTCCCAACCCCAGTTCTATCCCATCAATCTGGTGCAACCATGTCATGTAGGACTTACATGGAGAGAGATCACTAGCTCAAGCACTGTCTTATCTTTGGTGAACATGGTGGCGGGAACAACTGGATCTCTGGGACATCAATGGCTGAACCCATGTGTTGGTGGAAGCAGTTGCACGCTCACTAAGGCATTGTAGAGTGGTTGGGGGTTACTTCTTGCTACCTACCACTCAGACCCAGTTTTCTGTCTCCTCACCCTGAATTCAGAGAGCTGTCTGTTTTTAGAAAGCTTTTGCTGCTTAAATTAGCCAAAATTCTGCTATTTGCAACCAAGACCCTTAACAAATCCATGGGGAAAATAGTAATATCTACCTCATGGTGGTGTTGTGAAGATCAAACCCTCCTACAGGCTTGGTGGGAAGTCAAGAGGAAGTCAGCCCAGCTCTTTGAATATCTTCCTTGTGTCCGGCACGTCCAGCTTTATGGTTTGGGGACAGTGTCCTCTGCCTGGGTCCCAGAACACAGCCTTGCTTGCAGGCAAGTTGCTTTTCTGATCCTTCCCTCTCCTTTAAGAAGCATAAGAGGCTGGGCACGGTGGCTCACGCCTGTAATTCCAGCACTTTGGGAGGCTGAGGCAGGTGGATCACGAGGTCAGGAGTTCGAGACCAGCCTGGCCAACATGGTGAAACCTTGCCTCTACTAAAAATACAAAAATTAGCCAGGCGTGGTGGTGTGTACCTGTAGTTCCAGCTACTCGGGAGGCTGAGGCAGGAGAATCGCTTGAACCTGGGAGGAGGAGGTTGCAGTGAGCCAAGATCGTGCCACTGTATTCCAGCCTGGTGACAGAGTGAGACTCCATCTTAAAAAGAAAAAAGAAGGCCAGGCGTGGTGGCTCACGCCTATAGTCCTAGCACTTTGGGAGGCCGAGGCAGGCGGATCACAAGGTCAAGAGATCGAGACCATCCTGGTCAACATGGTGAAACCCTGTCTCTACTAAAAATACAAAAATTAGCTGGGCATGGTGGCGTGCGCCTGTAGTCCCAGCTATTTGGGAGGCTGAGGCAGGAGAATTGCTTGAACCCAGGAGGTGGAGGTTACAGTGAACCGAGATTGCGCCATTACACTCCAGCCTGTGTAACAAGAGTGAAACTCTGTCTCAAAAAAAAAAAAAAAGAAAAGAAAAAAGAAAAAGAGGCAGCAGCAGAAGAATCCCGGGATTTTACTAGGTTCCAGGGTTAGTCACTCACCTCCCAGAAATAAAAACCAGGACATCTGACCCACATGCCAAAGGGCTCCATTCTCTGAGAGCAGCATCTGAAACAAGACCTGTTTGCTAGAGGAGATGCTATGGCAGCTGGGGCTCCTGCAGCTGGGAGCAGCCCCTTTCCCCTTGGGAACTTCAGTGGAGACAGAAACATTGAGGCTGCTGACCCAGGGGCACATCCCTAGTTCCAGAAATACCTAACTGGAGTAGATCTGGGATTTCTAGGTCCCTACTAGTTAGTGAAACAGCCAGCCCTTGCATGTGGCTGCTATATTCTTGGTCAATTTCCTGGGGCAGCCATGGGGGGCTTGATGGGGCAGGTCTTAGAATCCACTGCCTTGCAGCCCCAGAACTGACATCTTCCCTCACTATCCCAACTTTCTGTTAATGGAGACATGCCACCCCACAGCCACTCTGGGGCAGGTCTGGCCTGCCAAGTATCCTGAGAGTGACCCATCAGTCACTGAGAGAACTGATGCAAACCCTTGTCTACTGGCCGAGCCCAAGGCATAGCCTCTATTTGCCTCTTATTCACCACAACAGGTCGTCATGGAGAAGACCTTCAGTGCCTCACTCAAGTAGGTCTCTGTACTTGGTTGAATGGTGTCGACCTACAACTCACGTATACCTAGAACCTCAGGAAATTACCCTATTTGGAAATGGGAGTCTTTGCAGATAGAATTAGTAATTAAGATGAAGCCATGCTAGATTAGGGTGGGTCCCAATCCAATGATTGGTGTCCTTATAAGACAAGGGAAATTTGGACAGAAGCACACAGCTATCATATGAGACAGACAAGTCCTTCTCTCTAAGGGTCAAAGCTACCAAAACTTGCCAGAATATACAGCGTGCTTTGACCAATGATGGGTGTCAGGGGAGGACCATGAGTCTTGTAAAATAAAACTCACTGAGATATAAAAGATTCTTTTAAAAATCCAGGTACAATGGCTCATGCCTATAATCCTAGCACTGTGGGAGGCCAAGGTAGGTGGATGGCTTGAGCTCAGGAGTTCAAGATAAGTCTGGGCAACACGGTGAAACCCTTTCCCTACCAAAAATACAAAAATTAACAGGGCGTGGTGTCACGTGCCTATGGTCCCAGCTACTCAGGAGACTGAGGTGGGAGGATCACTTAAGCCTGGGAGGCAGAGGTTGCAATGAACTGAGATTGTGTCACTGTACTCTAGTGTGGGTGACAGAGTGAAATCTCATCTTAAAAAAAGAAATTTAGGGCCAGGAGCTCACGCCTGTAATCCCAGCACTTTGGGAGGCCAAGGCAGTGGATCGCCTGAGGTCAGGAGTTTGAGACCAGCCTGGCCAGCATGGTGAAACCCCATCTTTACTAAAAAAATACAAAAATTAGCCAGATGTGGTGGCAGGCGCCTGTAATACCAGCTCCTTGGGAAGCTGAGGCAGGAGAATCGCTTGAACCCAGGAGGCGGAGGTTGCAGCAAGCCAAGATCATGCCATTGCACTCCAGCCTGAGCAACAGAGCAAGACTCCATCTCACCAAAAAAAAAAAAAAAAAAAAAAAAAAAATATTCAGGGGACCACCCTCTGAAGGACCCCTTATGAGTTCTAAGCCTCTATTTCCCCATCCAGGAGATGGGCTCATCTCCCTTTGGGTGTTTTTTGAGGATTTGGCCTGACTTAGGTAAATGACCTCTAAACAGCCTAACGTAATTTCTTTGTGGTGAGACTTAGGGCTGAACATAAAGAGTAGCAAGAACAAGAAAATGGTTAGGGAGAGGTGGTCCCACGGCATCTTCAGTTCCCTTCCCCAGTTGGTGGCCAAAGCCTTCCCCAGGTTAGCAGCTCCTCCTCTTTGGAGGCTTCTCTGGTGACAAATGGTGGTCATGTGCAGGTGCTGTGACATCAGGGACCAATCTGCACCTTCAGGGAGCACAGCATGGGTGAGAGCCGTGCCCCACCTCTCAAGGAGTTTGCAACCCAGCACATCCCCACTCACACCACTGATTTGATTCCTCATAAATGGGGTGTGTTTTGCCCAGTAGGGAATGGACAATTCCCTTTCCATGCTTGTATGAGCAGTCGCCCAGCCGCCGCCTGGGCAGGCTGGTAAGTCGGACTGCTTACCTGCAAGCCTTTGTACATGATCACAG